TGTCATAAAAAGTCCACACCTGGTGGCGTTAAATCAAGTGGTTTCAAAAAGAAGAAGAAGAAGAAGAAAAAGAAACTCCTCCCACGCACTCCCAGCAGCTCTTTCTCTTACGGTGGCTCCTGAGTGTTGCTCTGTTTAATGTGGACTTGTCAGAATAATCATCCCTCTCATCACTGCTGGTCCAAGATGAAGCACTTACCAGCGCCCTCCCCTCGCTGGTTTCCATGTGTTGCATCATATGTGTGTCTGTAATATCCCCATTAGAAGCACTGGGGGCTGATACGGGGCCGGGGTATATGGAGAGGGGGAAACTGGGACGTTTCCATGAAGGCTCCCCCTGCCTGTGTAATGGTTTGAAATCAGTGCGGCCTCACGCTGTTTACGGGCGAGGGTAATGTGGCTCTTTTAAATCTCGCTCTCCCTGTGAGAAAGACAGATGATATCAGATCGAAAATATGGCCGTCTTGCTCCCTTTTAATCCTTGTGCTTTTTTTTAGGGGTAATGCCTTTCGTGCTCCCAATCCCCTTGTGATTTTGTGAAGTCTATTTTTGTCTCAGTTTTCAATTGTTAAAGTGATGGAACATTAACACACACACACACTCTGTCTCTCTCTGTTTCAGACGGAGAACGGCAGCGCCCTCCACGAGGCAGCTCTCTATGGGAAGATGGACGTAGTTCGCCTTCTTCTCGACTCAGGTGAGGCCATAAATGTACCCTGAAAAAACAGGAACAAAGTGGATGTGTTTGCTCGTGTCTTTCCTTTGTTTTCAGGTCTTTTTTTTTTTTTTTTTTTTCAAACCTGCAGCTAAATGCTACACATCATTCTGTGGGTTGAATTTGCCCTCAGGTGAACTCCAGGCGTCTGTCTGCTGTTTTACAATCCTGGACGTTCGGCTTTATTTTGGCCCCTTTGTATCAGAACAAGGTGCTGAAAGTTGATCAGGATGTGATGATGTACTTTGGAACTGGGTCTAAGATAATAAAAACTAGTAGTCGTGAAAATGTTTCAATCAGTTGCCAATACAGACATTTTTTTTTTTTTTTACTCCATTTGAAATTGTTTCCTCATAAAATGTGTATTTGATATGATACGATACGTTATGATACGTATTCATATACAGAGCAGACTCAGCCTGGACACTTTGATACCGCTTCCGCCCCTCACCCCCTTTCCTTCAGCTCTTCCTGTTTCCTGCAGGACTTCCTGTGGGTGGCCATGTTCTTTTGGCTTCAGCATCATTAACATCCTGAATCTAAACAGCGCTGCACTGACCTGATCCACTGAACTTAAACTCTGCACAACCTTTAAAACACGATGTATGTATGTGTGATGTAGGGTGGGGGGATGTAGGGGTGAGCAGGATGAGCTGTCAGCCTTTCATTGTCACACAGCTGAGGATGTTTACATACAGCTCTGGAAAAGACATTAAAATCTGTATCTTGTTATGAAATGGACGCCATTTCACACAAACGATATCTAACCTGCGTATTAGTTAGCTTTGACTGTTGCTCGACCTTCAGAAGTAGCCTGGCTAGCTGTGTTCCTCTTTTGAAGCTTCTTATTTACTGTTCAGACGTTAGAGTGGTAAGTGAGCAAAGACCTAGAGTATGCTGCTCGTCTTTAAACGCTTTCTCACTGTTTGAATTCATTCTTCTTTCATTTGTATTTCATAGCACGCAGAGTGACAGGAATTACATTATTTGTCATGCTGAATTGAATTTGCGAGCACAGGTAGGGATTATACAGGCTTACAGGTAAACGAGGAATTCAAGCGGAAGGAAAACCTTGTGGGAGAATCTGCGTCTGTCAGCAGTGTCTGCCTGCTCTACTCTACTCTACTTTCTTTTTTTAACATGTTAATATGCGTGTCATTTTCTGTGTTTTACTGTAAAAGCAAGAGTGAGAATGTACTCCTTTGTTCGGGAGGAAAAACTTGTCTAAAGGCTTGTTTTCTGTGAGTAAAAAGGAGTCTTCATGAATTAATAAAAGTCCCACCATCTCCCTCCAGTGACTGCAACTCATTCATCTTTTGCTGACTGCAGTTTAGTGAGTGAGTGGATGTACATGTGGGAGCATCCTGTATCTGTAGTAAAGTTGGGTGTTGTGGTTTGACATTTGACCTCCTGTGCATGTATATCAATGCCTTTATTGTATCTGTGTGTGTTCGTGTGTCAGAGATCGACACCAATCTGAGGGACTGCCAGGGGAGAACAGCTCTGGACATCCTGAGAGAACACCCTGCACAGAAATCCCAGCAGATCACTGCCGTTATCCAAGGTAAGACACACACTTTTTAAACACCCACACATTCGGAGGAATCGAGACAAACTTCCACTTGAGAAATCACACAGCAAAGGTGCCGCTTTGTCCACGGGGGGGCGCCAAAATCAACAAGTTCCTTCTCAGAGTGTTCAGAGTCAAATGTGGAGTCTTCTTAACGCTCGTCTTTTCGAGTCAAAGGTCTAACAACTAAAAGGAATAAGATAACTGTGTGGAACATGTATTCATTTATTTCAACATCTTTAAAGATATTCAATTAAAAAAAGTTATTTCTCTTCAGAAGCTACCTGGAGACGTTTATCCTCGTTTAGAAATAACTGCAGGGATTGATGAACAATCAAAGTGGTTGCTGGTTTGTTTTCTGTCTGTAAAGTTTGACATCACTTCTTTAATGTCTGACTCTAAAAGAATCAGGATGATATGAGTGAAGTCACAGACTTGATCTCTGTTCAGTCACATGAACGTCGTGTCAGTCTCTTTCAGATAGAGAATAAATAGCATCATTTAAACTTTCTTTCTCCACACTTCCTCATCTTCGTTCACCACCTGTTATTAAAGGCTGTTTTTCTCCCCCTCATGTTTACTGCAGCGTGCTTTGCCTGTGACCGATGATTGTAAGTTGAAGTTTATTCACAGTCTCCAGGGACGCAGAGATGCTCCAGATTGTACCGTGTAAAGACAGCGTTGTCCTGAGGTGATTACGAGGCTCAGTTTGAACGCTGTAATCTGAGGTTTGGAGGCTTTTCACTATCGGCCCCCGTGTGATCTGTGGGAGTTAACTGATGATTTAAAGAGAGAGAGAGAGAGAGACGGGAATGGAGGGACGAGGAGAATATGTCAGAGCTTAAATTAACAGAGAGTCGGTCTTAACTAGGAGGCAAAGATAGAAAGGGGAACACACACTGGATCACAGGACTGTTACACAGCTAGAAAATAACAGACATGTAGCTGAACACAGCGATGCAACAAGCAGAGGGATGTAGTAAGTGGTGATTCCAGATTTTCTTTTAGGCTCAAAGAATCTATTAAAGAGAAGGGCAAATTGCTTTAAAGTTGCACCTTTCAATATTTTATCAAGAATGAACTGAGGGGCAAAGTCTAATATGGGAGTGGATGTCTGTGGTGCACATCTCTTGACGTGTTTGTCAGAACTTCTGAGTGTTTTTATCACCCTTCAGCTAATTGTTTCAGTTTTAGAGTCTACAACTGAACTATAATGGTTCAATCTTTTAGCGGTCATCATCCTACTGTTCACTAGCTGCACCAAAAGCTACCAGCGATCTCTTCACCACAGTGGAGCAGCCAGCAGTACGAGAGTCTGATCTTTTTCTCATAAGTTTGCTTCCAGAAAAACATTGATCATATTTAATGTTTTAATGTGTTTACAGTTTGTTCTGTGCTCCCACGCAGCTAAAAAAACAAACAAAACACATCTTACTGTAGTTTCTGCTGTTCAATAATAACCCATATAATAAACAATCCTTAAAAAACAGATAAAGAAAACATCTCTGAACTTCACAGAAGCTTTAAAAGTAGAATAGGTGTCTAACACTTTCAAACATACAAGTTGGTATAATTTGTTTTCTTCCAGCTTTCTTTTGAACCTCCTGTTCATAATGTATGCAAACCTGAGAATGAACAACCTATGAGTTCATTGGACCGTCACATATTTTGCCAAGATCCAGCTTACTTTATCTGAAAGGTTTCAAAACTCCGGGTTAAAAAACAGTATGACTGATGAACGTTTAGCTCTACAGGGTGTCTACCACCGTTTGATCGGGCAAATAAAGTCAAGACCATTTTGACTTGTGCAGCCCACAGTCACACAATTCTAATTTTGACTCTTTTTTTCAGTCGATTCTGCAACAACATCTTCTTTCATTAGACCCTGGATCCACATATTGAACAAATCCCTCTTTAAAAGCATGTTAAAGGGGGAAAGAAAAGGAGGAAAACCCTAAATAGATTCACAGAATATATCCATTTGAAGGCATAAACGACAAACACGTGTGTGTGTTGTAAATATTGCATAATTAACTGAAGTAAAATCTCTTCGTCCCCTGAACTGGATCCTTAAATCTTCCAAATTCTGCTGCTGAAACACTAAGCAGCCCAAAATCACTCACTTTTAGACTCTTAAGTATTCATAAATATGTTTTACGCACCGCACTCAAACTAAAAGACGTCCAGCATCAAAGATGGAAACACTTTCAGAGACATAAATAGACCACTTGTAGATTTTTCTTTTAAATGTCAAACCCCCGTGATGGGACAAATGGGTTTGGAATATGGGCCATGAAGACCTGATCGTCGAGCTGGACGAGAAGAGATTTGAGACTTGAGCATAAATGAAAGGCTGAATGTGAGGAAGAAAAAGAGAGCGAGGGAGGCAGAAAAAGGACACAGCTGCGACTTAGTAAAAAGATCAGCTGCATGCCATTTCCTGCTGGAGAGGAGGTGGAGGACACACACACACACACACACACACACACACACACACACACACACACACACACACACACACCACACACTCCAATAACAAAAGACCTGTCATTTACTCCCTTCTAACAGCTGAGGGGCTTTTCTTGTTGCCACGGTCACCTAATTATGGACCGATTATCATTTAATGTACAGCACATGACTCATCCTACTCGATCAAAATCTATTTCTTTTCCCATCCAGCAGGAACTCGCTTACTACAATGTAGTTGCTGGAACTCCATTGATTGTCTTCTGTTGTTGATGAAGAATCTACTTCGGGGAATAAAACTGTCAAAGCGTTTTTTTTTTTTTTGTGACTGATATACACTCCCACTACTCGGTGTTATATTATGCAAATATGGCTATGCATCATAATAATTGAGCTGAATGTTAAGAGTCATAGACGGAGAAGAGTACACACACACTTTCCTGACATTAAGAGGTGTTAGGTCTCATTAGGTCTCTGCGTGGGAAACCTGACCTGGCTTTTTCCTCCCTACTTTCCCCCCCTACACTTCACTCCCCTCGTTTGCTTTCATGAACAGCAGTGAGCTCTATTAGACAAAGCTGTGAACGGTATTCACAGTGTGGGGAGGAAAAGTGAGAATTGAATGCAGCTCGAGTTGATGGCCGTGCTATTATATTGATCCGGTGAAATGCCTCTGAAATGCTTTTCCCTCCCTCCTACCTTTCCTTACTCACTCTCCTTCAAGCTCTCCTCCTTCTGATTTTGACCACCTTAACATATTTCCAACCACTCACCCATACGACGCCCCTCTTGTCTCTGTAGAGTATATGATGGACGAGATGGAGAGGACGAGTATCATGGAGGAGCCCATCCGCAAGTGTCCCGTCCCTGCACCTCGAACCTCTGTCCCCTCGCCCTCTGCCTCCCCCTCCCTCAGACACAAGAGTGAGTAAATACACAAACACACAACTACATTACTGAAGATTCAAGGCACTTACAATAGAAATGTTTTGTATTTTTGGGCCAGAACTGTTATAATCAACATGTGAGAAAGTGGTACAAACATTTTTTATTATCAGACAGGTTATGTTGGACAAAAGACATTTTGCATGGCCTCCAGATGCTGTAATATCAAATCACCTCTCCTATAACCTGCTAAACGTATCATTCATATCAGTTCATTCATATCAAGGTTATTTACTGTAGGCCAACACAAAGACAAGGCCTCAGATAAAGCATTGTCCAAAAATGTATTTCAGCTGGATTTTGGTGCATTTGTGTTTCTTTTCTGAAATAAAAATATTCCTCTTAATCTGATCTCCAGTATTATCTGTCTTTGAAACATGGGTAGACAATGCAATATAATACAGTATATACCCAGACAGTGTGTGCAGCTCCTTTAGTGGAAAGACAAGGTACTGCCACTCTAAACAGCTGTCCATTTTCTTGTCCAGCGCTGCCCCCTGTGGTTTGAATATGACACTGCAACAAGCTGAATTCCTGCTGATGCTCTCTGCTTCCTCATCAACTGTCAGCAGCAGCAGCTACCTTAATTACCTGTGAGACAGTTGGAGGGAGTGAGAGAAAGTGATTAGCACAGTTTGCTCGACTTTGAACACGTCAGCAGAGCAGAGAGACAGAGGAGGGGGGGGGGGTTGAAACTATGAGTTCAGGAATCCAAAAACAAACCTTTACATTCCAGTACTAAGAACAAGCTTCATGCTCAGTGTTAAAGCTGCTTTGGATGAATTCCTCCTTTTCTTCCTTTGTCGCCCCTCAGATGACGCTGTGACGAGTGAGCTGTCCAAACTGCTCCACGAGATCAAAAAGTGCCGTGACAGGGACTACTCCTTCGAGGAGCTCTGCCACACCATCTCCTCTCACTCCATGGACAGCTTCGGCAGCGGGAGGCTCTCTGACGAGGAGCGGCCAGATCGACCAAACGGCACCCTGACCCGAGTCGGCAAGGTACAGGACAGCTCTTATTTCTTTCACAGAGAATAAGTATACTCACATTTTTCGCTGTTTTTTTTTTTATTTTCGCTTTATTACTTCATCCTCTGAGCGGGTATGGCTTTAATGAAATATCACCTCACTCACAAATAAAAAGTGTGCTTTAAAAAATCAATCAGAGGCACAAAAGGAATTTAGGATTTGTGTTACTTCAACCTCCTTTAGTGACGTGGCAGTATACTGAATGTGTCTTAGGTCTCATCTAGTCCATGATGGGGAAATGTTTGCACAGCTATGTTGTGTTACACTAATGAGCGAGTGTGAAGGGGGGGTTCTCCTCGAAGGTGTAAGCCTATTGGTCAGAAACAAGGACGTGATACATCGTCATTAGAGGGGAAAAGCACAGTGGAGGGAAGATGATGGATCTACTGAGAGAAAAAGTAAAAGAGGGTACAAATGTTTGAATCAGTGATCTTGGTTTTAATTCTTCAAAAAAAAAAGTCATACAAACTTTTTGGAAAACTTGTGTCTGACATTAACAGATACAATTATTCTACAGCTAATAACTAAAACGATGACTTATGAATTTGAAGTTACTATGATCATTATTTCAGCCAAAGTTGAAGCTTGTCTAAACTGTGTTTCCAGAGAGTTTGAGATTTTGAAATGATTTCCTTTTGTGTTATAAGAAATCCTGGAAACCCTTTAGTCTGTAACTGGACTTATTGGAGTGTCTCCTCCTATGAGAGAGTGCATACATTTAGAAAACGTGCACTTTAAATATATATATCTTAAATATCTTAAATACTTAAATGTGGATTTGAAATTAGGACCAAATATTATATTAAAAAGTCAAAGATAGATCTCATTTCAAGGTAGGCCATTTAAGCACAACTATTCAGTCTTTAGGTCTGTTAACATTCCAGTGCACATGAAAACAAGAAACAATGAAACATGAACATGGCCGCTTTTTATTTCACTTTGTCCAAAAGTAAAGTTGTTTCTGCTCACGCTGCGTAATGTGCTCAAAGGCAAACTTTCCACTGTTGAACTAGATGATGTCCTGATGAATGTCAGATGTTGTGTCGATATCTCTCATGCTTTATGACAATGAGTCCGACTGTCAGTCAAAGCAAGGTGTTTGCCAGGGGAATAATCCTGTTCTAAATAAATGCTTGCACTTTGTCCATTTTGCCAGCAGAGGGCAGCATCATATAAACTGATGTCACTGAGCAGGCTTTACTGGTTGAGAATTCACTTGTTGTTGCTGATTAAAAAAAAAGAAAACAGCTTCTGTTTGTTGTTTCCTGAATTTGTTAAATAATTACTTGTGCTCAAACATGTGTTCACAGCCTGCAGACTCTGTTTTCTTTAACCTTTTTTTATATTTTATTTGATGCTTTTTACACGTCAGCCACTTCATCCTCCTCTCTCTACTCTTTCAGTCACATTTAGACAAAAGCTGATACCACGTTATAGATTTAAAATCCAGTCTGAGGGTGGAAAATGTAACTTGTATCAGTATCCGTTGAACAGAGAATAGGAGCTGCGGTTTATTTCGTGCCACAGATGCTCTGAGCCTTTTTCAAACCCGCCGTCGAGGAAGTGAGACCCAGCAGGACACACAGGCCTTCCATCGCATTGACCCCCCACCTGAGTCTGAAGACCACACACTGAGAGGCAGATAGAAAGAAACGTGGTTGTTCGGTTCCATCTTCCTTTCCCGTTTCTCTCCTTCTCGCTCACATGTCACACACACACACACACACACACACACACACACACACACACACCTCAAGAGAAGAAATATTGTGACACTGATCAATAGCTCATCATCTTTTTCATATCTGAAAATGAGCTCAATATGAAAGCAAACCGAGATATGTTTACGTACAGTGCAGCAGGCGTACACACACACACACACACACACACACACACACACACACACACACACACACACACACACACACACACACACACACACACACACACACACACACACACACACACACACACACACACACACACACACGAGTACTGAACACACGCACGCACCTTCGCTCACTCAGGCTGTAATTATCTCAATCCATCTTGTCTCCCTCTCTCTCTCTTTCGCTCCATAAGTACCAATTTGTATTCTATTACAGACATCCACAGTGTGTGTGTGTGTACGCCCACAGGCTGCTGTGTGTACATATGGCTGGAGCCATTAGTATGTTACTCCACGTGTCTATCACACATGAATAAAACATGACAAGCCCAACAATGGCACACACACACACACACACACACACACAGGAAGAATCAAGCTTCACACATTACCCTGGTACCCGCCATGTGTAAATCAAGTCATAACATATAATTGTGTGTGTGTGTGTGTGTGTGTGTGTGTGTTAATGTGTGTGATATTCAAATGAGTACTTTCCTGTGTGTTCAGTGGGATTAAATCAATATGTGTGTCTCTGAAACACAATCACTCTGTTTTTCTGACACTGTTAATAATCTCTGCTGATTTAAATACATTATCTCTGAATTTCATCCATTCTTCATAACATGACAAAGGCTGCGGCGTAAAGAGCAAAGATTACTTTCAATAATCAATCTGTAAAACTGATTAGTTGCACGACAGTCTCATTATGAGAGAGATTAAAATTGCAAATCAAAGTGTCCCTGAGATCAAGACGAAGAAGATGCTTCAAACTGCACAATTTGATCATCTAAAGAACCTAACCCAAAGTTTAACGTAAAGAATAAACCAAAAAAGGAAAAGCAGCATTTTTTTACTCTCTTTGTAAAGCTTGGATGAGTACATCTTTGACATTTGCGTTCTTAATGAACTTTTATGACAATGACTATGATTTGAGACATCAGCTATAAGGCAGTCAAGGAGAAAATCTTTAGTCATTTAAGAAATTGGTGAAAAATGTTAGCGTATAGCACTTAACACTCAGTAAAGCTTACAGCATGATAAACTAATGAAATCAGCAGATTAAAAATATTCATCTGGTTGTGCCACAGGTTAAAAATGTCCACTAGTCATGGCCATTCAGAACTGTACATAACTTTTCAGGGCGACACGTCTGTTTTTTTGAGGGGCTTCATCTTCTGTTTATCCTCTGCATGTCCATCAACGTCTGTGCTAAACATCAGAGCAAATCGACTGAGCGTTGTAGAGAAGTAGCTATAACCAACAAACCAACATTGCCATCCATCCATCCAAAATTCAGTAATCTGTGTGAAAATAAAGCGCACTTTCATTCCCTCTTTTCTTGTAAATTGAAGCAGAGCTAAAATGTCACCACAGAATCTGGTTCAGATATGAACTTTGGTTAATTCTTCTTGCAGCAGGAAATCTTTTGCATGTTTGAATGTGTGGTGACAGAAATCTGGTTGAAAACTTGATTTACTTAAAAACTATTTCTGTGTTTTTCAACTGCCGTGGAGTCACTTTAGGTCACTGGATTGATGTCATTGTATCGTCCTCAAATAGTGAACTTAGCCAAATGTAAAATGTAGTTAAGTAAAAGAAATTCCCTGAACAGCAAAGTCCCCCTTTAAGTGTATTGACCTCTGGCTGATATCTGTTTTCTACTGCAATGAAAGGAAATACAGTATCAGCCCTATTGTTCATTCATACAGTGCAGGCTGTGCGTGTGTGTGTGTGTGAGCACTGCAGTCTGTTTTGCATCTATCAATATTCCAGAGTTGATGTCGGCCTTGTGCAATCTGGAGCGATTGGTGACCTTTTGATTTCATCCTCATTTTCTGCCTCTATCTCCAGTTTCACTGATGCCCTTTTGCTCCTCCCGTCTGTCCTTCGCTCCCTCTGAATCTCCTCTCTCTTTAATTTCTCAACATGTTTTTTTCTTCTTCCAGCACTTTCTCTCTCACCCCGTCTTTAAAATGTCTTTAAATAATTCCCAATTAAACCTCTAGTCTCTGTATCTCCTTTGTTTGCTCTCTCTCCCCTCCTCATTCTCCCTCTCGTCTACTGCTGGTTTTTAAAAAAAACAAAACGTCAAATCAGACACTGCAGTGGTATCTCTCTCTCTCTCTCTCTCTCTCTCTCTCTCTCTTTGTAATCTGCTGCATCATATGGATCACTGGGACATCAGGTGGTTTGCGTCCGCCCTCTGACATCTCATGTCACAGAGCTCGTTCACACACCTGCCTCCTGGGAGCCAAAGTGCTCCAGGAAAGGACACTGTGTGTGTGTGTGTGTGTGTGTGTGTGTGTGTGTGTGTGTGTGTGTGTGTGTGTGTGTGTGTGTGTGTGTGTGTGTGTGTGTGTGTGTGTGTTGAAGTAGCTGTGCTCTTCCTGTACCTTTCTCCTTTAACTCAATGTGGCATCCAGATAAGTAATGCTGCTACATGTTTCAAGAACAGCTACATTTGGGACTTAGCTGTCCTCTAATAAAACCAAACCTCAGTGGTAATTCGGTGACTATAAGCTGCTTTTGGCTGCTTGAATGCTTTTTTTTTTGTTGTTCTCTGACTCTAATTATAAACATCTGTGAAAGCGCTGCGTCTGAATCCTGATCGTTGAGCAAGTATCAGCATTTCTAGAAGTAATCTTTTAATCTCTGTTTTAATTGCAATCCTCGTTTTAACCTTTCTCTTGACACACACGTTGTCTGACCGTGCTCTATCTGTCACTCGTGATTTTAAACTGTTGTTAACACATTGTTTATTTTAAATGTCTGTTTTCGCAGAGACCGACCCCGCCTCTCGCCCCGGCCCTGGAGGAGGACGAGGCAGACAAAAGTTGTGGCCCCACGGGATTCTGGGAGGCCCTGACACCCTGCAACGGCTGCCACAACCTGGGCTTCTCCAGCCTATCACAGGTACACAAACACAACCACACACACAAATATATACAGTAAATACACAGCCTGCAAGTACTGGACCACTCTCACATCAATTACATATTTTCATTATATTACATGTATAAAGTGCATACTGTGTTGTTTGTACAGTATGCACTTTATGCACTTTATGGAACAAATATTCATCGAATCAATCCATTATCACCATAGGAGTTTGTCACATGCTGTGGAATAATGCATCACATACACACACACACACACACGCTGCTTCACTACAGTGAAATTACAGAACTGAGTTATTACCATTGTACTTGATGAACTTCTGCTGGTTACCGTGGGAACGCTTTGAATGAGTCGTCACCAGAGAGACCAGCTCTCCCGACTGCTCTGCATACTTCCCGTCTGTGCCCGTCTCTTTCTTTCTCTTTGCTTATTCTGTCTGTGTTTTCTTTTCTTTTTTCATTTTTTCATCGTCATATTCTCTCTCTCTATAATCAGAAATAATCTCCTTATCTTTCCACTTCTGAAGCTTCTTCCCTTTTATGAGAACCACTTGCTTCATGAACCCTGAATGGAAATAATTCAACTGAAACATCTGATACACAGAGATCACATAGAGGATAATCATCCCTGTGGGGGAAACATTAACACAGCAGCAGAAGAAAACACAGAGGAATGAAAAGGTGACATCCTTGTGATGCATTTTCATGCAAAACAACATTTATCGAGTTGAAACGCGGGGTCAAATCTCCTATACATCTGCATTACAGATAGAACATGTGTTAGCCTATAGGGATAATGATGATTCTTCCTCCTTCCACTGAATTCATTCAAAACAGACACACAGAATGAAAACGCTTAAATGGGACACAACAGATAGGTTTTATGCATTCCCATATAATGGAGTGATTCATACACCCTTCCACATATTTAAAAGGATCAATATGTAACTTGAAATGGGTACTGCAGTCCAAATTGAAAACATTGGACAGAGCTGTCTCTCCCCCCCCCGCCCCCTCCACCCTAGAGTCATTGCTCACGCTGGTTGCCATGTGGAGGACACTGCAGCTTCAGTGTTTGGTCTCTACTTTGGTCTTGAAACCTTTCTGCGTTCTATCCTCTCTCCATTTTTGCAAAAGCATCTCAAATATTGATCCTAGTTTCAACACTTTTCTGCCCGTGGTGCTCATTCGAAAAACGCTGAGGGTAGAATCAGTTCAATCTGAACCAGTTTGCTTGTCGGCTACCGTCGCTGCAACACCTGTTGGTTTGTCGTGATAACTGGTCTCCTATCTGGCTAACCGAGGGGTGTCCAAACGGGCGGTGTGGGGGTGCCTTCAAACAGCCTAGTGCTGATGGTAAAGCAGAGGGTCCTTAAAGTGTGTCTTTAAGGGCCGAGTCTGAAGTTCCATTCAACAAACCCGAAGGGGAATAAAGCTCACTTTAAAAGTGATCATCCTGGTGAATTGTTTGATTTCACAGACTATTACTTCAATCAAACAGCTTTGAAGCAACTCCACAGTCATGAGGGAAGCAGAAGAACATCACAACAGTTTTCTTTCGTATTTGCCTTAAGGTGGAAAAAAAAAACATTTCTTATCAGAGAAAAGTTTGTTCCAGTCAACCTAGAATCACTACTTTCATACTCGACTAAACAAACTGATCTATAAAGTTTGACGCGGCATAGATTGTACGACTTATAGTTCCTCTGATACGTTTTATCTTTCAATGAGTGTGTGCCAAGTATCCTGTTGTACCTTTCAACCCAAAATCAGGAAGAGGAAGCAGAATCCAGGTTCTCCTCTGCTACCTAGAATACCTGCTCGACCTTTTTGTCCTCCTTCCTTCCTCCTTCCTTCTCCTTTCCTCCAAGCCCTCCATGCTGCGTATAGAAGTGTGGTTAATTGTGTGCGGTTGAGAACGCTTAGCAGCGAGTTGCTTGCTGGCTCACACTGCAGGACATCTGACATTTACAACACAACGACCCCGTGTGTTATACAATGGCAGCCTGCCTGCCTGCCTGGCATGCTGCCTGGAGATGTTTGCACCTGGATGTGTGTGTGTGTGTGTGTGTGTGTGTGTGTGTGTGTTACACTAATGTGTTGGTGCAAAATAAAAAAAGGGACCTTTGTGCATGTTGGCGTAATTGTGAACACGAGGGTATACAGAGCATATTGTTAGTTTGTGTGTTCAAATGTCTGAACTTAGTGTGGCACCATTTTGAATGAGCGTAGGAGGGCTGTGTGTGTGTGTGTGTGTGTGTGTGTGTGTGTGGGTTTTATAGAGGAGGATGAAATAGAGGAAACAAGGAAAGAGAGACTGAGTTGTTATTACATAATTAAGTTAGCACCATGCTAATTAGCTCGGCATGATTGAGAGTAAACAGAGTCGACATAAAGAGAGGCGCCGGTTCGTCTCATTTGAGGATGAGCGAACAAAGTGAAGCTCTTCTTCTCCAAACATTTTTCATCTCATCTTTTCTTGTCATTACCCCACATGAGCTCTCACATTAGAACAACAACTTGTTGTTTTAGATTAGCTCGAGAAAAAAAAAACAGAGCATCGCGTTGTTTATGTTTGTGTACGCGTGCATTCATGACGTGTGCGTGCGCCATACGTGCTGCATAAGGAAGCTTCCCTTGTTTTGGATTTCTTTGCCAGTCACACGTTTCCTCCCACCATTGCCATGTGCACGCCAACTGATGCCCGGTAGTGTGTGTGTGTGTGTGTGGAGGAGGTTTCCTCTGTGACGTCGACTTTAACAACGCAGTTCATACCTCACATGCTCAGAAGGTTGAAGCAAAATATAGAGAATGAAAAAAAGAGAGAAATATAGCGAACGAACGCGAGGACAGTATTGAGGTAGAGAGGTTCTGCAGGGTTGCCAGGCAACCTAGAGATTCACGTGATATCAGGCGTGGGATGGCCACCTTTTACAAGTCACAGGTGCGTCAGAGAGTCAGCGCAGAGACACGTTCACACACGCGTCAGAGCTTCACGTGCCTCTCACTTCTCCACCTTTCCTTCTTCCTTCCTGTGTTTCCTACCTCATCTCTCTTTTTTTTTTCCCTCATACTTCTTCATTTGATTTTCTCATTCTGCTGCCCCCCCCCCCTCCTCCTCCTCTCCACAGTGGCTGCTGACCTTTAATGTTTTCAGCTGAGGGAGTTTAAGGGAGTTGAGGTGGGGTGAGTCTGTTTCTGTGTCTGTGCCCTGGTTGAGGTTAAGATCAGAAACCCAGGAGGGCTCTTGAAGATGTTAGGGGACTTCAAAGGGAGGTATTTCTGAGAGGACGGGGATTGTGTGGAGACTTTCATAAGGCTTTGATAGAAGACTTTGTGTGCTCTGTAGGTGAGTGAGCTCTAAAAAAGGGCAGTGTACCATTTAGGAGTTTTCAAAGTGAAAAACTTTTTTTTTTTTATTAAAAGTTCTTAATTTGAATAGTTCAGTGTTCACCTCTGACCCTGTCACCGGTTCCTTCAGCACCCTAACCCCTGAAACACAACAAACTGCGATGCACTCTGAGAACAAGCAATATTTGTTTCTGCAATTTGAGCTCCCACAGCTCTTCTGTTGGATCAAACAACACGTTCCAGCCTTCACTCCCCACACACATCAGACCCACCCATGAACCTGTCGCTGGTTCACCTATTTTCCTTCCTTACTGACCACCAGGGTAGACCAGGGTCCTCCTTTCGGGTTCCTTACTTGTGTAGTATGTACTCTCAGATGTTCTAAATTGTAGAATTCAAATGATGAAAGTAAACTCATGGTGTAAAATCCAAAAATGTCTGTGGCATGATCTTGTCCCTGGACACACTCAGTAATTCACTCACAAGCAAACAAACAGTAAAAGTTCCTTCTCTGGCTGAGTTAAACATCTTTGGGAAATTGATGGCGTCCTCGGCTGTTTGACTACGCTCTCTGAGTTTCTGCATAAATGTCACATCAGCTGTATCTATGGTGGAGTTTGAGCGCTTATTCAACCTTCAATATCTCTGTAAAAAAAAAGAAGTGCATTTGGGAGCCACAACTTGCTGCAGACAATTTTTTACTACCCCCCAAAACAAATGTATTTCAGAAACAAGAGCCAATCATCTTCATGCTGTGCCGTTGGCACATCAGCAAGGTGTGCGTCTGTGTGTGTGTTTACTCAAGGCTGCTGTGATGATGGGAACGGTAAGCATCCTCTAAAACAATTCCCCCTATCCCGATTGAGATATAAAAAGCCGAGAAGCCGTAAAAGTAATAAATAGGAAGTACTCTGAGCTGCCACTAAAAGTACCGCCTGGTCTATGAAGAACGAGGAAAAGTCACTCAGCAAAACAAGTGGGACACAGAGTGCCCGGCTTATATCTTTTATTTTACTGTTTTTTTCTAGAGCATCAAAGAAAAAAAATCTAATTGGCGGAAACTGAGATATGGAAAGGCAATTTGTTGAGCAAATGTCTGTACTTGAAGTGTGTTTTATTACTTTCCGGCTGATCTGAAGCATTCAATCTCAGATACAGATGAAGTAAAGCCAAGTGTCTTTTTGCTGACTTATTTTTTACTGTATAAAGTATATGGATGGAAAGCCTTATGCTTTAAAAATGAATGTTAACTTAAAAAAATCGACTTGAAAAGTAGAGTGAAGATGGATGAACAAACATCATGGTTCAGGACTTTGATATATTAGAAGTTGGATCAGAACAGGACGGAAACAGTGTCTTTAGGGGCTGGGTTTGCTAAAATAACTTGCCTGATACACATTAAAACAAAGCATTGTAAATTAGTGTTTGGTCCAGCTTGTACATCAGGAAGTGTGCAAAGAATTCAGAATGAATAAAAGGTCTTTAAACTGTAATTGTTATTTGTACAACATGAGTCAGTTCTGTACATCAAGTGTTTCCATGCAGCTCACTCGTACTCGAGCAGCCTCTCGGGGTGGTTCTCCCCCACACTTCTCAAGCTCTCAGTTCAACACGCTAAAAACTTTGGTCACACGGCATCTCGCTCTGGCTGCCGGCCGTGTCCGT